CTTTAAAATTTAGATGGCTGCAATTACCCTCAAGGCACCGTGGAAATACGCAGCTTTTACAGACAATGTAGAGGCTAGTTATAGACTATTTTTTTGCTAGTCAGTAAAGTCGATCCCCTTTTAAAATCTTGATTAACCTTAAAAACTAAACCAAGACATTGGTTTCTACACATGCTGTAATTGAGACTTTTCCCTCATTTTACTCTACTTCCCCTGTTTACCTCCTATCTCCCCATTACTCCAAATTAGAGAGCTCTTTGTCAGGTCCCAGCCCTGCCTCTTAGCACGCTGCCTGGATACATAATCCTCACTCCATGGATGTTTGTTGAATGATGAGGAATAAAGGGATGAACATACATTTCTACTCATACACGTTCACCAAATACTCTTCTGCTCAGAACTGACAACAAAGCACTTGTGGGAGTTCTTTCCTCACCTATTGGATACCCGGGTCTGAGAGCTGGTTTTAGTTTCTAATAGTCACAGAGAGGTCCAAGGAGGTATTTTCTTACTCATTTAACTCCTCCACAGTGAATTCACATTATAAGGCGCATCATGTCATAAAACAGGAAACCATTCTAAATTTGGGTAGCTCTGGCTTGGCCAACCTCAGCATCACTGTTGGCCATTGGCACACAAAGAACCTTCTATCCTTAGCAGTCCACGACCATTTAGTTTAGTTATTGCATTAGCCATTTTTATAATGTTTTCCTAGATAACATGTGTTGTTTTTTAATAACAGCTTTTTTTTTGGAGATATAATTCACATACCATAAAATTTACCCATTTAAAGTGTATACAATACATTGATTTTTTAGTATATTCATAGAGTTATACAACCATCACCACAATTAATTTTAGAACATTTTCATTACCTAAAAAAAGAAACCTATACCCACTAGTTCTCACTCCCCATTCCCCCTCAACCTCCCCTGCTCTAGGCAAGCACTAATCTACTTTCTATAGATTTGACCATTCTGGACATTTCATATAAATGGAATCAGACACTGTTGTTCTTTGTGACTAACTGCTTTCACATAGCATGATGTTTTCAAGGTTTTGTCTATATTATAGCATATATCGAAATATCATTTCTCTTATGGCCAAATAGTATTCTGTTATATGGATATACCACAATTTAGATATCCATTCATCTTTTGATAAACATTTGAGTTGTCTTCACTTTTTGGCTATTGTGAAAAATGCTACTATGAACTGTAAAAGTGTTTGTGTGGACATATGCTTTCATTTCTTCTGGGTATATGCCTAAGAGTGGAATTGCTGCATCATATGATAACTCCATGTTTAAGCTTTTGAGAAACTGCCAGACTGTTTTCCAAAGGGGCTGCACCATTTTAATTCCCATTAGCAGTGGATGAAGGTTACAATTTCTCCACATTCTTGCTAACATTTTTTACTCTCCGTCTTTTATATTATGGCTATCCTAGTGGGTATGAAGTAATATCTCATTCTGTGTTCGATTAGCATTTCCTTGTTGGCTAACTATGTTGAGCGTCTTTTCATGTGTGTATTGGCCATTTATATGTCTTCGTCGGAGAAATGTCTATTCAGATCATTTGCCCATTTTTAAATCAGGTTATTTGTCTTATATTTTGAGTTGTAAGAGATCTTTATATATTCTGGATACCAGACCCTTACCAGATACATAATTTGCAAAAATTTTCTCCATATCTTTGGTTTATTTTTCATTTTCTTGATGGTGTCCTTTGAAGCACAAATGTTTTTGATGAAGTCCAGTTTATCTAATTTTTTCTTTGAATGCTTTTTGTTTTTGTAGCATATCTAAGAAACCATTGCTTAATCCAGGGGCATGGAGATTTATTCCTGTATTTTCTTCTAAAAGTTTTATAATGTTAGCTTTTACATTTAGGTCTTTGATCCATTCTGAGAAAATTTTTGTATGCCATGTGAGGTCACATGCCATTTTTGAAAACTAGTTAAAATGGGAAATAATTAGGAGTTTAAAAAATATGCAACTGTCTTTGGTTTTAATTGAAAATCATGTTGTTTCATTAAACATACCATTTGATGTAAAAAAATTAACTCCTAACAGGGCTGATATTCTCAGTATTACTTTAAAAATTCAATAAGCTAAGAATTGTTAGAAAAAGCCTTTGACATTTTTGTTTTTAAAAAATCAATTGCTCTCAGTGAAGATTTAGATAAACCATATTTTAACATGTTACGTAAGTAATATCTTTAAATACATTAAAAACATCTTTATTCCCCTCTTATAATGATATAGATGTCAGTTTTACACAGTGATTCTGCTCCCCAAGGGACATCTGGCAATGTTGGGAGAGATTTTTGTCACGACATGGAGGATGAGGATGATACTAGCATCCATTGGACAGAGATGCTGCTAAACAGTCTGCAGTGCATAGAAGAGCCCCCGCCACAGAGAATGATCCAGCCCCGAATGTTAATTATCAAGGTTGAAAATGCTACTGTAACTAGATCGGTGGCCTCTATCAGATATATTTGAGAAGAGATATGACTTTGCAAACTCTTTTTCTCTCATTTATAACCTCATAGGTTTTTCCCATCACAGTACTGAGCCTTTCAGAGGCCAGAATGTACCCCAGCAACTAACTGCCATTAAAACCCTTTACGGTGATAAAAATCTATCAGGTTTTCCCTTGTGGGAATCATTGGGAAAATACTTGCTCTCAGTGTTTAATTCATTTTATATTTGTATGTTTTCATTTTTTGAATTTTGAGATATGTTTGGATAATTTAGCTGCTGTTCAACATACACATTTGGGTAACCAAACTCCCGTTAACATGTACTTCAACTGATTATATATAGGACAGCAGTGATAATAAGTAATAATTTGTGAGTGCTTGGCACTGTGCTAAGAACTCTTCCTGCATTAGCTAACTTAATTTTTTCAACAATTCTGAGAGAGTAACTTTTACATTTTACAGCTGTAGAAACAGAGGCACAATGAAATTAAGTAACTGGCCCAGGATCATATAGCTGGAGTCATCACTATTCCAAATCAGGGTTTAAGCCTGATGGGAGCTAACTGTGAAGTGCACGTGTGTCACAAAGTATTTGGTAACTTATTATGGATAATCACGGAGGGACAGTTTGGTTGTTTAAGTGCACGTGTGTCACAAAGTATTTGGTAACTTATGGATAATCACGGAGGGACAGTTTGGTTGTTCTCTCACTCACCTGAGTCACAGTAAGTGCCTTGCCAGGGGATAGAAGGAGTGGACACACACGGCTAGCCACAGGGAAAGCCCATCTCACCTCGGACATAGCCACATATGTGTGGCTCACCTGTGACCATGACCTGTCCTGCATATCATGGAGGACGGTGTCTGAGGATTGCTACTTAAGGAAAACTGTGATGTCTGTGGCACCACTTACATTCTTGATGCTCCCTCCCAAATCAGTCAGGGTTTGCTTTTTCACCCACTGGCCATCCTCTCATAACACACTCCAGCTCCCTGACTTGTGGCCTAAATCCACTTGCACGTACACCGGCACCACTCCCCGAGCCTGTTATACGTGCCATGCACTGAGCTGGGCCTTCTCACCTTCAGCTCTCCCAGAGTCGGGGTCACACTCCAGTCCCTTAGTCTCACGGCCTCTGCTTTTACTGGAACAGCACTGCGGTGTTAAACAGTGACAAAGCATCTTGTAAAAATAAATCATACTGCAGTTAAACAGTGGTGTTTCCCTCCCAGGCTTTGTCCCTCTGTGTGCACATTGCTCTCTTCGTATACTTGATATCATTTTCCCCTCGAGGGGCTTTCAGGAAAGGATTTGGAGTGTGTGTAAGTGACTGAAGATAAGCATTTTCATGGTACAAAGGTCGGAGATGGAATGGCTCTCCAGTTTAGCCAATTTGTGGGTGCGGCAGGAAGTGAGGTGAGATTCTGCTTGCATCTGCCTTCCAGGTACCCTCCACTACCTCTTCAAATGAAGCGAGAAATCGAATGGAGAGAGCAATGATTAGAAATGAAGATTGCCCTCCTTCTCTAAATTTTTTCTGGATCTGTCTTGAAATGTTTCGGGCAATTCTTTCCCTGCTTGGGGCCTCAGTTTCCCCTTGAAGGAAGGGTGCATGCACTAGACAATCTCTGAGCATCCTTGCGACAATAAACTTTAAACCTCTAAGGTACTGGCAGCTGAGTTACAGGAAGCCCATGTGATTCATGTCCATTCTAAATAGGAATCTGCTTTAGTAGGAAGCCCACACTTAGAAGCCTGCCCATGTTTGAAGAAGAAAACACAATGATTGGTTGATGCTATCTTTCTTCAGAGACCCATCTCCAGGGGCGACGTTCAAAATATTTAATAACCAGCATAGCATGAGCACAGACCGTCAGGAGGGTAGAAGACAGCCTGCAGAGTCTTCTGGGGCTGTAGCCTGACAGCATACCTCACCCACCTCACCCACCTTGCCCACCTTGCTGTTCTGCCAAGCTTTCCCTGCTTGTTTTTTGGGTCTGCCTCTTCCTGCCTGACCTGCATCCAGGCCCTAACTCAAACCCCTTGGCTTTCTTCTCTCCCCAGTCACTTTATACACAGTGGCTATAAATATCACCCTGTATCCAAACACTAACTTAATCATATTTGTCACTCAACAGATGCTCTTGGAGCATCCCTCTGTGCTCAGCCCTGTGTTGGCTGCCCCCTCACCTGCTCGCCTTTAAAAAATGTTAGAGGCTGGGAAACTCGAGGAGATTAAGAGACCCAAATTCTACCCTGGCTCTGCCCCATATGCTGCGTGACCTTAGACAAATCCCTTCCCCTCCCAGGTGTCAGATTCCTTGCATGTAAATGAGTGACTTGAATTGGTTCAATGAGCTCTGAGGTCCCCATTGTTCAATGATAGTTTCTGGAGAAATGCATGTCTTCAGCAGCTGACCGCTCTCTCTCTCTCTCTCTCTTTCTCTCTTCTCTCTTTCTTTCTCTCTCTCTCTCTCTCTCTTGTCACCTGGCCCCATAACCTCCACTGTAGAATGCACTGCTGCCTGCAGGCCTGAGGCAGAAGGATCAGACCACCAAAGCGCCCACGGGCCCCTTTAAAAGAGAGGAGCTCTTGGATCACTTGGAAAAGCAAGCAAAGGAGTTTAAGGACCGAGAAGATTTTTTTTGGGGGAAAAGCGAGGTACTAATAATGTTGCTCTTGTCAATTTGTTACTCTCCATGCATCTCTGAGTGCCAGCTGTACGCCAGGCTGTGTTAGGCCCGATGCGACTGGGCCTCCTTGCCCTCAGCCTTGTCTAAAAAACACAAACCCAACTCCCAAAGCATCGATGTTGTAAATTTAGAGAAGTTTTGGGGTAAACCAGTTCAGCAAAACTTTCCCCTAACTCCCCTTAACTAGGGTATCCTGCTTTTTCTTCACACAAACCTAGACACTATTGAAAGTGAGAGAAGTAACTATTAATCATGATATCAAGACATGAGAGCTAAAAAAGGCCCTTCCTGTGCAAACCAGGAACAGGAGACACATAACCATCTATTGCTCTTTACTAAAAGTTCCTTTCTCTGGCAATTGCGTTATCCCTTCCTTCATCTGTTCCCACCAAGGTTCTGACCCAGCCTAAGTCAAGCCATTTTAAAAGTCTTTGGGGAACAGAAAGGCCCTCCTTGACCATCCAACTCTTCCAGAACTTCCTGTTGCACTCTAAACCATTCTACTGGCCTCTTCCATCATGCTTACCCTTGCTTGATGCACTGCCGCCCCACAGGCCTCCTTCTGGTCCTCAAGCATTCTGAGCTCGTTTCTACCTCAGGACCTTTGCACATACTCCCTCTGCCTAGAACGCTGGTCCTGCTGTCTGCCTCCATGCTGTCTCCCTCCCCTGTAAGTGGCATAATGGTTAGAAACAGAGCCCGGAGCAGGTTGTACTTTGGTAGCAATCCTAGCACTACCATTTACCAGCTGTGTGAGTCTGAGTAAATTTTCAAACATGCTGTGCCTCTATTCCCTCATCTATAAAATGGGGGCGATAAAAATAATATTATCAGCCTCATGAGGTTGTCACGAGGATTAAGTTAAGACGTACATACAGCACTTAGAACAGCACCTGGCCCATAGAGAATGCAATTGCAAGTATTAGCTATTATTATCCTTTCGGTCTCAACTGTACTGTCTCTGCTTTCAGAGAAGCCTTTTCTGTCTCTTCAGTGTAGTCCCTTCAGCTCCCTCCTTGGTTATTCTCCATCTCAGGAGCCTGTGTGTGTGTCCCTCATAACAATTCTTGTTTTATTATTATCTCTTTATTTATCATTTGTCTCTCTCACTGGCCTGTAAGCCCCATGAAGGCAGGGACTCAGGCTGTTTTTGCCCACAAAATACCCCCAGCACCCAGTGCAGAGCCTGGTATGGACTACAGCTCAGTAGAGACTTGGCGAATGAACGAATGGGTTTAAATTAAATAAATGTATATAAGTGTTGATGAGCCACGGGCCTGTGTCCGTGGCTTTTATCTCTGCATCTCTGCTGTATTAGCACATTGCACTGCACAGAGGCACTCCTTGCTAAATCATAAAGCGAAAGAGCAGCAGGAGTGGACCTCGTGGGGAGCCACGCTGAGCCATCCCAAACCCTGGTGTTGGAGCTCAGACCAGATTTTACTGAAAACCTGGTAGGTCAAGGAAGCCCAGGGCAGCTGGGTTACGGAACTTTGGAAGCACCTGTGACCTGCAGTGTCCTGGAGGGAGCGGCAGGGCAAGGGGGTGGGAACCACTGAGGCCTTGACCATAACGGCTGGGTGTGCCCAGCCGAGAGTGTAGGCACAAGATGTTTTTAAGCAAGGTACTTGTGCCATGAGGAGTGGTTTCTGTACAGCAGATAAAGATAACAGAATCTCTGGATTTCGAGGGGCTTTAAAACCCCCATTGTCCTCCCCGCACATTTGAAAAATGGAAAAACAGAGGTAGTGAGAGAGTCAGCAGCAGACCTGTTAAGTCATTGCCAGTGTCCACTTCCTCAGGCACCCACCCTTCTCCCAGGGGAGGAGCTGGAGACGGGGTGGGGGTGGGGAAGGGAAGGGAATCTGGGCATTACACAACCAGTCCTGCCGCTCCAGGGAATGCCAGCCTAGCCAGAGCCAGGAACAGCGCTCCGACTCCCACAGCCTGACTGCCTTCATGAAAAACCAGGCCGACCCAAGGAGGTAGCTAGAATTTATTCTGTTGCCATATCATGACAAGCCTAAAAAGATCATTATCATCATCACCACCACCAGTGTCATCACCATCAAGTATTGATGATAACGATGATTGCTGGAGTCTATGTTGGTTGAGTAAGTGGGGGGTCTCAGCAGAGAGAGTCGGGGAAGGAGACATTCCAGCTTTTACAGGTGGACTCAGAGCCATTCAGTCCAGCCCCCAATGAGCATGCACCCCACACTGGGCCTAGAGCTAGCCTAGGCTGAGGGGAAGCAGCACTCTTGTCACCACGAGACTGACAGAATGTGGTAGGGGCCATATGCTAGTGCACATTCCTGAGGAACTGGACTTCATTCACTCTCTTTCGAGTGGGGGAATCAGAATAAAGCTTCATGTAGGATATTTTCATTAAAATTAGATCTGGCTGCATATGCTAGGGAAAAAGGTAAAATAAAAAAGAGAGACTTAAGACAGAAGTTTAATTTTCTTTCACTTAGAAGAACTGCAGAGTTTAGCAGTTCAGGGCTGATAGGCATTTGCCTGCCATTAGGAATCAAGACCCTTTCCAGTTTTTTAATCTGCCATCCCTGTAATATGTCCTTGTCCTCATGGTCCATCTAGCTGCTGAAGCTCCAGTCATCACATCCACATTCCAATTAATGAGATGAAGGAAGGAAAGAAGTCCAAGTCCCTCTTGTAGTGTCTTAGAGTCATCATCCTCACTGGGGGTACCTGCTGCAGGGGCATAATAAACCATAGGCCATAAATATTTGTTTAATGCTCATCCTAGTCATTGCATCAGTCACTTTCACAGTTGATTTTCTTTTTAGCCGCTTTGTTTTCTTAGTAGATTTTGCCTTTTTCCAGATCCAACTCTGGTGGAGGTTATGATACATTTCCCCCCCGCCCAGATGATTTTGTTATGTTCTACTTGTATAAATACTTTATCTTTACCGTAAACAATTTAAACAATAAAACAAAGTAATTTAAAGTAATTCCTTCCACTGAGAGATAGGCCCTGATTCCATTTTGGTGAAAATCCTTCTAGAGATGTCTCTCTGCACTCCCCACCCCCTAGGCCAAGTCACCAATAGTCTCACCTGGACTATTGCAGGAGCCTCCTGACCATCTCCCAGTTCCATCTTTGCCCACCTTTGGGCTATTCTCAATCAATAGCCAGGTTTTTTGTTTTTTTGTGGGTTTTTTTTTTTTTTTGCTTTTTTAATTGAATTAAACTTCATATAACATAAAATTAACCATTTTAAAGTGAATAATTGAGTGGCATTCAGTATATCCACAATATTGTGCAACCACCGTCTCTAGATCCAAAACATTTTCGTCACTCCAAAATGAAACCTGATAAGCAGTTATTCCCATGCCCTCCTACCCCCCAGCCCCTGGCACCCACCAGTCTGTTTCTATAGATTTACCTATTCTGGATATTTCCTATCATATAACTGTGACTTTGTGTATGGCTTCTTTCACCTAGCATATTGTTTTCCAGACTCATTCATTCCATTTTAAGATTGAATAACACTCTACAATTTGCTTATTCATTCATCCACTGATGAACTTTTTGGTTATTTCTACTTTTTGGCTATTGTGATTATGCTGCTATGAACATTTATGTACAGGTATTTGTCTGAGTGCCTGTTTTTCAGTTGTTTTGGATATATACCTAGAAGTGGAATTACTGGATCATATGGTAATACTGTTTAATTTTTTGAAGAACTAAAGAACTTTTCCAAAGCAGCTTTACCATTTTACATTCCCACCAACAATATACAAGAGTTTCAGTTTCTCTACATCCATGACAACACTTGTTATTTTCCATTTTGGTTTCTGGTTTTTATAATTGCCGTGTTTATGGATATAAAGTACTATTTCACTGTGGTTTTAATTTACATTTCCCTAATAACCATATGTATATATTGGAGAAATGTCTATAAATCCTTCACTCATTTTATAATTGGGTTTCGTTGTTGTTGTTGAGTTGTAAAAGTTCTTTAAATATTTTAAATATAGACCCTATCAGATAAATGATTTGTGAATATTTTCTCCCATTCTGTATGTTGTCTTTTCACTTTCTTGATAATGTCCTTATATGAACAAAAGTTTTAAATTTCGATGAAATCCAATTGATCTATTTTTTCTTTTGTTGTCATATCTAAGAATACATTGCCAATCTAAGGTCACGAAGATTTAAGCCTATGTTTTCTTCTAAGAGTTTATAGTTTTAGCTATTATATTTAAGTCATTGATCCATTTTCAGTGCATTTTTGTTAATGGTGTAAGTTATCCTTTCGCATGTGGCTATCCAGTTCCTCCAGCACCACTTCTTGAAGAAACTGTTCTTTCACCATTGAATGGACTTGACACCCTTGTCAAAGATAAATTTACCATAGATGTATGGGTTTATTTCTGGACTCTCAATTCTACCCTAATATTTATATATCCATCCTATGTCAGTGCCACACCATTTAACTTTATAGTAAGTTTTGAAGTCAGGATGTCTGAGTCCTCCAACTTTGTTCTTTATCAAGATTGTTTGGGTTTGGGTGGCAGGTAGCTCCTTGTAATTTCATATGAATTTGAAGATTGGCTTTTGTACTGCAAAAAAAAAGGCCATTGGAATTTCGATAAGGATGGCATTGTATCTGTAGATTGCTTTGGGCATTATTACCATTTTAATAATGTCTTCCAATGCTCGAACTCAAGATTTTTTAAAATTTATTTAGGCCTTCTTTAATTTATTTCAGCAATGTTTTATAGTGTTCCATGCACAGGTCTTTTACCTCCTCAGTTAAATTTATTCCTAAGTATTTTATTCTTCTAGATGCTATTGTAGATGAAATTATTTTCCTAATTTCCCTTTCAAGTTATTCATTGCTGGTGTACATACAAATATACCACATATATTTATATATTGGTCTTGTACCCTGTAATGTTGCTGAAATGCTTATCACTTTTTTTATGGAATCTTTGGGTTTTCTATATACAAGATCATGTCATCTATAAACAGAGATCAGTTTACTTTTTCCTTTCCAGTCTGGATGCCATGTGTTTTTTTTCTTGTCTATTTACTCTGACTAGAACTTTCAGTACAATGTTGAATGACAGCAGTGAAAGCTGATTGTTGCTGATTCCAGGGGTTCCTTTTCTCCTCATTTCTTCTTAGCTTGTAGGCCATCATCTCAGGCTTTCCTTGACCACCTTACCCAAAAGATCAGTGCCTGACTCACCCACACTCCAGCCTGGAACTTCCTAGTCTTTCGTTCTGCTTTATCTTTCTTCACAATGCTTAATACCATCTGATATCTTTACATGCCTGTCTCCTTCCACTGAATTGTAAATTGTTCAGTGCTATTTCCCAGGTCCTAGAAAGGTGCCTGGCTTGTAGGAAGCACTCAGTAAATATCTATTGCAATATATACATATATGTGTAACTTTTCATACATGGAATTAAGTTGTTCATGCTGTTTTGTAAACTTGCTTTTGCACAACGTTTTGTCCTGGGCATTTTTCTTCTTAGTAAGCAGAGATCTCCATCATCCTTTGTAGTAACTGCTGAAACTCCATTGTGTGGATGCCCAGAATTCTTTAGCAATCCTTGTTGGTGGACACCGCGGTGACCATCCTTTACATGCCTCTTGGCTCCCTCGTTCGGTTATGAGTCTGACACTTTGAAAATATCATGTCCGATGAAGCAAGGAAACATTCTTTGCTCCTTATTCTTCTTTTAATAATCTGAGTGTTTCATTTCTTTTGTTTAGAAATGTTTTTAAATTTTTCTCTTCTATCGGAACCCTTGGTTAGGGTATACAAGGTCCTAGCATTCTGTTATATTTTTCTTTTGTATATTTTTCCTGCTTATAGATTGTTTAAGTTAATGACCAATGTTTTCAGCAGCAAGTGGTCTAGTTTGCTAAGTTATAAAGGTAACTCTATTCTTTTCAAATGTGAAAGGTGCTTTATTAGAGATCTTCAATTCCTGTTCTTTGGGGAATTTTGGCACTGGGTCCCTGGAGAGAGAAACCCCAAAGGACTCTCAGCTTTGAGGGATGACAGGGCTCTGGAATAGTCATCCAGGGCTGTCACCAGAGGTGCCCCCAAGTGCCGCCACACTCCCTGTAACAGGCTCTCTCATGTGTTCGCAGGAAAGGTCTGGGTCCCCAAGCAGAAACCAATTGATCCCGTGCTGGAAAGTGTGACGCTAGAGCCAGAGCTGGAGGAGGCCTTGGCAAATGCCTCAGATGCTGAACTCTGTGACATCGCAGGTAAGAGGCGTTCCAGAAGCTCCCCCACATCCTCCAGAAGGAGTCGACCTGCATCTGCAGGGAGCCTTGGATGGTTTATTTCAACGTGAACACCCTTTCTGTTTCTCACAAGGACTAGAGGAAGCCAAGAATATTAAAATAGAAGTCCATTATCAAAACTAAAATGAGGAAAATAAAGATAAAACCACCCAAACCCATCACACCAAGAGCCATCTGTCATTACCATGAGAATTTGTCCTAGAGGGATGCGGGAGCATCCCAGGGGACCAGAATGGGCCTTGTACCAGCCACTTTGTGAAATCCTGCCCATGCCACTGGAAAGAGAGAATAGGGGGTGTAGACAGAGGGTTATGGGCATCTCAGGTTTGGGAGGTTCATAAGGGCTGGAGCAAAGTCATCTGATGTTACAACTTTGCACAGCTCAGAGAACTCCCTTATCTCATATTTGTACAATACTCTCCATCTTCAAATGTGTTCCCATACGATCTTCACAAACTCTAGAAAAGTGCCCTAATCTTCAGAGCCCTTTGCCACTGGCCCTTGTCCCTTATTACCATCTAGTCCCTGCCCCACACACCTTCATGCTGTGCCCCCGAGGGTCAGGCTTTGGCTACAGCAAACACCCTGCGAGCACCACATTGTTCTGTGCACCCTGGCCAGTGGGGTGGGTGGTCTTTTCCTTTGCAGACTTGGGGGCTACTAACCATAGCCCAGATGATGACAGGTGGGTCGATGGGGCAGGGAGAGACTCAAGGCAAGTGTGAGGGGAGAGGAAAGATGGGGTGGACTGTGACCGTGTGGCTATGACAGGGAGGTCAGAGGAGGAGTCCAGGAAGGTTCTATATTTCCAGCTCCGAACACTAAGCAGATGTTGGTACCATAATGAAGGCAGGTGTCCTAGTTTGCCAGGGCTGCCAAAACAGAAGACCACAGGCTGGGTGGCCTAAACAACAGAAATAGATTTTCTCACAGTTCCGGAGGTTAGCTGCCCAAGATCAAGGTGTCAGCAGATTTGGTTTCTTCTGAGCCCTTTCTCCTTGCCTCGCAGATGACTGAGTCTAATTGTGTCCCTCTGTGCATATGTCCCCTGGTGTCTCTTTGTGTGTCCTTTAAAGATCTTATCTCCAAATATAGTGAAAAATTCTAAAGTACTGGCAATTAGGACTTCAGCATGTGAATTTTGGAGGCACACAATTCAACCATAACCGTGGGGGAGGAGCAGGTTCAGGGGAAGTGCTGAGTTCAGTTTGGGACCTTTGGAATGCGAAGTGCCAGTGGGCCACCCGGGACAGTTGTACATGAGGTCGAGTTCTGCAAGGGATCCATGCTGTAGCCCTTGTGGCATCATTAGCATGGAGATATGGGGCATCATTATTAGCAGAGGGCACAGCAGGAGCAGGGGCCTGGGGCTCTGCAGGCAAGTGTCCTGGCCAGGGTAGAAGCCTTTGAGGAATGAGGAGTGGAAATGGGCGCAATAGGGACCAGTTAGCCACAAACGGGCTGAGAACCAAAGGCCAAATCAAAATGGGCAGAACCTGATACAAGAGCTAGGGAGACAGAATGAGGGTTCAGGGCTGGCCTGAGACTCGGAGGTATGTGAGGCCAGAGGCCAGGTGATTCCACCAGTGCTAGGGGACTTGGCCAGCTGTAACTGTCTCTTGCCTCATCATATCCTCAGGCTTCTCATGGGTGTTGTGCGTGGGTCCTGCTGGCATTCTTTGCTGGGGGTGGGTAGTACAAAAGGGGATGGCTGTCATCTGTAGTAAGACCATGAAGGGAGAGGCAATAAGAAGACTCAAGTATGCAGGAGGGGTGACCCTGGGTGGTGGTCAAAGCCAGGTCGCAGGAATGAAAGGAGTGAATGAGGAGAGCCAGTGTGTTGACTCTGAGTCCAAACAACCCTTTCCCAGGAGATAGAAAATTTGGGAAAGGAGAAAGGGCAGTGGCTTGAAGAGTATCAGAGCTAAGAAAGAAAAGTTTTCATTTTACTATGAAATACAAAAGCAGTGAGTATCTCACTCAGATGAAAACAAAACACTTAACTTGGGAACTTAGCTGGTGTGCTTTGCAGTTCAAGATTTGTTTTGTCAAAAGCCACACAAGTCATATTAGATCCTACATTGTGTGAATGTATTTTGACCAAACCATTTCCCTTAAATGGGGGTGGGGGGGTGTCTCCTTGCCTTCCAGTTAACCTGTGCAGCAGAGAGGTGGGTGAGTGACACCACCGTGCAGCATCTCTACACTGACTCACCCTGGAGCTGTTTTTATCCTGGTCTTTCTCCTCCAATCACCCTCTGCAATATCACTCCCCTCATTAGTCAGCTCAGAGGGATTATCAAATGACTCCACTGTCAGAACCGCCAGTTCCTGTGCCAAAATAGAACTGCAATATTGGGTTAAGTTTCTGTGTTGATTTCTTGAAATTATTTATCTTTATTTTTGTTGGCATGGCTCATGATTATTATCTGTTCATGATATCATATCCTTCAGATGTCCGGAAAAGAGTGGGAGAGCTGTAAGTTGACACCAAAGTTAACTGGCTAACTTTGGGCACCTGTCATTGTAAATCAGCCATTTGAGAGATGGCAGTGTCTCTGGGGAAGGAGACTGAACATTTGTTGACCGCTAACTATGTCCCACGTGCTGTGGGAGTTTCTTCCAGTACCTTGCTTTTTACTGACTGACCACAACAATCCTATGCAGTAAGTTTTATTGTCCCCATTTTATTGGTGGAGAAAGTAGGTATGGTGAGGTTAAATGCCTTGTCCATGGGGTTCGAACCCAGGCAGCTTCATTCTTGGGCCCACTCACATCATCACCATTTAATGCAACTCGGATAAAGCCCTCCGAGGTGGCAGGGCACGGTAGACACAGACAGTGGGTGAGAGGGGGTGCCAAGTCTCATGGAGTTGGCTGGGGGAGGATGGGACCCCAGTGAGAAAGGCTCTGGATGCCACTCTAGGGCACTGACACCTGGGAATAGGGGAGTGTCGGGAGAGGCAGATGAAAGCAGGGGTGTGGGCGGAGAGGTGATGGTGTACAGGGGATGAGGGGATGTGGGAGGCAGGCCCCAGGTAAGGCCAAGGTGGAGCTGTGGGACTACCTGTGAGACGTGGCTCCACCAAGAGGCCAGCTGTCGCTAGTGCTAGATCAGAGGCCAAAAGTTCAAAGGTGCCGCAAGAGACGAGGCAATGGGGGCGGGGCATCTTGTGCGTGTGCTGCGTGTGGCAAGCCCACCAGCGGCAGGGGAGGAAGAGTGGGGGTGTGATTTGGCCTTTCTCAAGGAGGGAGTGGATGGAGCCATGAGTGTGAATGACTCATTTAGAGAAGGAAAAGTAGGGAGAGGAGGGTATCGTCTCGAGCTTTTGCGACGCAACTCCCAGGCCAAGCACTTCCGTTAACTTAGCCGTCGCTGGTTCACTAATTCACATGCTCAACGGCCATTTATCCTGGCCCCTCCTTCTGTGTGCCAGGGTCAGGACGAGCCCTGGGGAGAGAATCCTAAGAAAGCAGCCCGGTTCCTGCTGTCACAGAGCCAGCATAAACAAACACCAAGGCCAATATGAAGTGACAAGTGAGAGTGTCCTAAAGGAAAAGGGACAGGGCATGGGATGGGGGCGTGGTTAGGTGGTGGGCTGAGAGCTAAGGCCAGAGACTGAAGCTGACCCTACAGGAGGAAAGCTAGGGGTGAAGTAGGGGGAGCGTGAAGGAGGACGCGGACCCCTCTGAGTCGCTTCCTTGGCATATGTACATGTGGTGGGCTTCACATTTGCTGATGATAGGAACATGGAGGACACCCAGCAGATGTGTCATACTGACTCAGGTGCGACATGGGTGAGGCAAGGCCCGTGGACTCTCTTGTTCATTTATTTTCATGTTTGTGTATCATGCCTTCATTCATTCACTCGTAGAGTTGGTGTATATTATTGAACTCCAATGCTAGGATGAATCAGAGCCAACCCTTACCCTTGGCGGGGCCGGGATGCGGTGATGAGGACAGAGCATGTAAATTTTAACATGAAAAGTGTCACCGCAAGGTGATGAGCCTCTGTACAGAATGTACAGGCCTCTGACAGTACTAGGTTCTTGGCATGTGGCTTTGGGTTGTAGCTTGGAGGCCATAGAGAGTCATCTGCAAGCACTTGGCATTATCAGTGCCTCCCCTTACCGGTTAGGGACGTGATCTGTCTTGCCTTTAGGGACCCTTCAGGTGGGACAAGACCCCAGAAGGAATTGGAGTTGGGGAGACTCACCTTCAGGAGGGCTAATCCCCAGGTCCTGACCCCCGCTTAAGGGAAGTTGGCATCCCTTAGCTCTTGTGACTATCAGAGGCAGTGTTAGTCAGACCACCCTGGTTTCTGGTGCACTTTCATGCCCTTAGGCTCCTGTTTCACAAGAGGCTTATCCAGGAGCAGTTCAACTGCACCAAGTCCTGGGCCAGAGCCAGCTTCTCCCACCTGTTCCCGGGATGCCTGCTCTCTGCCCCGAGCCAGCCCAAGCAGTTGGCAGCTGGAGAAGCTCGGATGTGTGCCGCTATCTCTCTGCATCCTTAGTGGAATTATGAACTGAGTGAACCCTGCCAAGGCAGAGAGAGGAAAGAGAACTTGATGTTCTTTTTCAGAGTTCAAAAATAATCCTTTTGAGTTTTGAGGAAGATCTAGACTTTTTTTATTTTATTTTTTTAAAAATCACATTCCCCAGTGCTAAATTCAGCCTATATCTACAAAGAATGAAGCAGCAAGCAAGGCTGTTGTGTTGTTTTCCTTCATCACTCATGCCTGGTGACATGGAGTGTACAAAACCAAGCAGGGGAAAAGTCATGATTTGCTGCCTAGGCCTGGCTGAAGGCAATACTGGCTTCAGAACCACCAGGCATTCTGCTCAGCAATGAGGATTTAACCAGGCCCCTCCCTCCCACCCTAATTTCTTCAGAGCAGCAGAATGATTTTATTTCTTCTTATACCTGCTATTGACATATATCACCTCTTGGAATATATATTATTTGTTTTTAGAATTCCAAAGTAGAGGGGGAAGTTTTAGAACTTTAGACCTGGCTGGTGACCTAGGGTCTGGGGGAGAGGGTGGGAATACTAACTTAAAAGCCAGGAGAGTCCTTGCCAAATGCTCTTTGACAAACCATTTCCCTCTCGAGCCTGCTGGAAAAGTGGGGGGTAGACAGCACCTGCCCTGAAGGCTTGTTGTAAAAATCAAACAGGGTAAAAAGATGAGATGTCATGTGGCTGTTAAGTCCTATGTGAAGTTAAGAGTTTAGCATTTAAACACTCTCCATTTTACAGGTGAGAAAATTGAGGTCCAGAAGTGATCTGGAGAGGGTTACCCAACAAATTAGTACCAAGACCAGACTGGAGACCAGGTCTCCTTCCTCTGTCCCCTGGCACTTCCTGTAACCTTCCTGCCTCAGTCTCCCTTTCTGAACTGTTCTGGGAAGCCATCATCCGAGCACAAAATGCATTTTCCATTTTCTCCCTCTCTATATACTCAGCAAGACCAGCCAGCTCTCTAACGTCACATCTTTCCTGTGACTCCCAATATTTCCAAACTGTTTCTCCAAACTGGAAGTCTCAGCAGCAGCCCAGAACCACCACAAGCCACTCCCCAGATGGAAGCTGCAAGAGGCAGCTCCAGAAGGTGACACATGGTGATCTGATTCACCTGCCACTGACTCAGGCCTCAGCTCCCACTGCCCACGTGGCCACAGCCCAAATTAAAGCTCAGAGAGCTCGAAAAAATGCAGATGCCTCTCTCCCTACCAGTTCCCCTTAGTGACGAGTAGGCGGGTCTAATTTTAGCAGAGAAGACACTTAGAATATGAGAAACAGAAGGGACTTTGAGATCATCTCATCTTGTGGTTCTCAGCTCCCACTGAGCATCAAAATCATCCAAGGAGATTCAAAGATATACCTCCAGAGATTAGGATTAGTTGGTCCAGGGTGAAGCTTTGATATTGTCTTAAAGTTCCCAGGTGAATCATATGTCGAGCCATGATCTTGTCATGCCCCTTCATTGGACAGAGGAAGCTGAAGCCTAGAGAGGGGAGGGGACTTGCCCAGGGTCACGCAGTATCAGAGGCATAGTCAGGATCTTAGTGGTAGGTCCTTGGGTTTCTTGACTCCTGTAAGGGCTCTCGTGTTTTCTCTCTAACTAGAACTCATGTCTAACAAATGGTAAGAGGAATAAAAAAAGTCATTAGCAAGTATTGACCAAATGCTTACTGTATTCTGGAAGAAGTGAAGGAGAGGTGATTTTCTTTCTTTGTCTTCTAGGGGAAGCACACAGTCCTCTAGGGGAAGCACACATGTACTGAGACATCTCTAACATCATGCAGACTGTGTGCTGTGATAGGGACACCAAGTGCTATGGGAAAACCAGCAAGGAAGAGGGAGGAATCCAGGAAGACTCCCTGGAGGAGGAAGTGTTATTCAGTCTCTAAGGACTGGGAGGTAGAGTTGTTAGGTCAAGTTCAGGATGCTCAGTTGGATTTGAATTTCAGATAAACAATGAATAGGTTTTAACGTAAGTAGGTCCCAAATACTGAACAAGACCTACGTATACTAAAACATCTTTCATTGTTTATCTGAAATTCCAATTTAAATGGGTGTCTTGTATTTTTATGTGCTAAATCTAGCAACACTGCTAGGGGCGATTTCAGCAGTAGACATTGCAAATGAAGAGAGAATCACTAGCAGAGGGGGTGGCATTGGCAGAAGCAGGAGAATCTACTGAGCAGTGACCAGAAGGGGTGTCACTAGAGCAGAAAGGGTATAGGGGAGGGACAAACTATGCAGGGCCAGCCCAGGGAGGGCCAGTGAAGCCAGGCTCTGGGGTCACAAGCTGCACAGTCGCTGAAGTCCTTCCCTGCCCTCTGAAGTCAGTTTTCCAGACAGCCGGAGTAACAGTCACAGAACTCGAGTCAGCAGCTCGTACCTCGCTCAGGCTTTCACTGGCTTCCCAGGCTATACCTGGAAAAAGACATCCGAACTCCTTATGCCTCAACCTAGAAGACCCTGTAAGATCCAACGTGGCCTATTTGAATAAAACCTACTTCTACGGGTGGTTTTGAGGGTTCAGAGGGATGGTGTCAGGTAGTGCTCTCCATCTTGACTGCTCTTTGAAACCACCTGGGGAGCTTTAACAAAGGCAGGTGCTTGACCCCCTTTTTTGGGATTGTGGTTTAATTGGTCTGAGGTAGGCCTGGGCCTCAAGAGTTTCTAAAGATTCCCAAGTGATTCCAATCCACACCCAAACCAGAATCACCGACACAAGGCAGAGTCTCTGGCCCGGAGGGAGCGCTCAGTGGGTGGGGGTGCTGAGCCGTCTTCCGTGTGTCCATCTACATCTCTGTCTCTACCTCCTGATCTTTCACTGCCTGAGTCTAAGGCTTTCCCACCCACAGTTCCCTCCGCCCAGAACACTCTACCTCCCTTTTCTCAACTTGGCCAACACTTACTCATCCCTCCCATCAAGTCCCTCTGTTTCGTTCTCCCTGAACTTTTCCTTTGCAACACTCACCGTACTCTGTGCTTATGTTTTTAATTGTGTGAGTACCTGTTAGTGGCTCTGTCCCCTAGCAGACTGTAAGGTACATGGACAGGACCCTGTCTTTCTTGTTCTCCGCTCACCCCCTTGCCCTCAAAACTGGACACATGATGCCGGCACTCAAAAAATGTTGAACAAATGAATGAATTAAAGAACGGCTGAGCACAGGGGCGATGCGATCAGATTTGCATTTCCAGAAAGACTTTCTGGCTGCTCTGTGCTGAATGCTGTGGGGATGGGGCCAGGACACCAATGACTGACTATACAGCTGTGCCAGTACAGCCCAGAAATGATAGGGCCTTAACCAGGACGGAGGTGATGGAGTGGGAGGTGGGACCAACGAGACACACTGTTTGGGATGGTGTGGACTTGGTGGGGGATTGCCATTCGAGTGAAGTTCTACCCTGAGGGACAGGCAGGGTGACAGGATGGAAGCTGATCCAAAGCAAGAGGCTGTTGCTGAGAAAGACGAGTTCTGTTTTGGCCAAGTTGGGTCGGATGTGCCCGTGGGACATCAGGGGACATCTAGGAATCTGAGGCTGTCTAGGCCTAAAGGAGTCTAGGCCGGGGATAGAGATTTGAGTTTCACATAAATAGAGGCAAATGAGATTTAAAAGTGTTCATGCAAGTGTTTCTTGCCATTTCTGTGAGCAAAAATTTGGGGGATGTGGAATGTTCATGCCTTGGAGGCTCTTCTGTCTGGAAGTGGAAAGTCACGGTTCCTTCCCATGTGCTCGCAGCTATCCTGGGCATGCACACGCTCATGAGCAACCAGCAGTACTACCAGGCCTTGGGCAGCAGCTCCATCGTGAACAAGGAGGGACTCAACAGTGAGTACAGGGCCCTGACCGCCCGGCTTCGGCACCCCGCCCCTGCCCCCAGCGAGGACACCTTGGAAGTGAAGCTGTCCTCATGCTTCTTGCTTCCTCTGCCCACATGGCAGAAGTTTGACATTTTACATAGCCAAATCTACCCACCTTTGACTTTTGTTCTCCTGGGATTTGTGTCTTATTTACAAAGTTCTTCTCCATCCCAATATCATGAAAATACCTTCCTGTATTTTCTTCTAAAAGTTTTAGAGGTTGACTTCTTATAGGCAACTTCTTAATCCACCTGGAGTTCATGTTTGTGTGTGGTGTGAGGCGAGAGAAAACTTAATTTTTTTAAAAATGGATATCTCATTGTCCTAACACCATTCTTTGTAAAGTGTGTCCTTTCACCACTGGTTTGGGACTTCACCTTGATCATAAATTTCTACGCATCTACATGTGTCTATCTCTGGGTACTTCTTCCTTTCCAATGTGCATCCTTGTCCTTTCCTGTCCCAATATCGCATTGTCTTAATTGCTCCTGCTCACTGTTCCAAGCTGGCGTTTTGGCCCCAAAAAGAAATAGGGATACCCAAAGAATAATTAGCCCCCTTCCAGAAGGTCGACATATTTCTTTCCCATCTGGGCTTCATTTAATCCTCATAAGAGCCCTCTGAGGCAGAGTGACTGTTCACACTCTACAGATGAGGACACCTATGTTCAGAGAGTTTAGGGAATTCACCCAGTTCTTGCAAGACGTCAAAGGCAGAGTCCAAGCAGGGCCTAGCCCTCCTGGAGATGTCCCCGAGTGCTGCCACCACCTCTTTCAGAGTGTCCTTGCGTTAAGGGAAAGTGATCCCCATGTTTCTGTGAGCCACCTCTCTTTTGTGGGTCACTCTAGGTGTGATCAAACCCACACAATACAAGCCTGTACCCGATGAAGAACCAAATTCAACAGACGTAGAGGAAACGCTAGAGCGGATAAAGAACAACGACCCCAAACTTGAAGAGGTTAACCTCAACAACATCCGGGTAAGTCCCTGTGGGGTGGGGGAAAGCCACGTCCATGTCACCCTGGTGCAGACGGCCCAGGCATGACTGTGCAGAGAGAACAGGGCCCTCTTGGGGCTCTCAGTGCTTCTGGATCGGGAATAGGAATGGGGAGAGTGTAAGCATGCTCATCCCATGGTCCTGGTTTTTTCTGGAGAACTGGCATCAGGCCCTGGTGTTCACCTTGGGCCCACCCAGCTTCAACTCGGGAAATCTGCCGCTTTGTACTCAAAACACAGAGCTTTGCTGAGATGAAAGCATGAGTCACACACACAGGGCTGCACAGGATCTCAAGACTGGAAAAGCCCAGTGTCCCCCAGGCTTGTGGGGTAACCCAAGCCCTGAGAGGGACCACTCCAGAACCACTGCTGCTGCTGCTGCTGTATGATGCGCACAGTCAGCCTCTTTTTGCAGCCCTGGGAGGAAGATGTCAGCCCAAATGATGGAAGACATATTCCAAGCTGTCAGCCATATCTCTCCGGATGTTTCCCATGTGACCATCAAGGGCAGAGGAGGGACAGATGGACAGGCAGCCCTACTATGGACAGGCTGCAGGAGGAATTCAGAAGCAGGTCCAGCTGCCTGTCCACCTGCTCAGCCCAGAGGCCAGCGGGATTCGTTCTGGGAGGGTGTGGGGGTAAGACAAGAAGCGGGCCCCTCACTCCCCAGATCCTCTTTCCTTTCTTCTCCTCTTTCTTTTAAGTGGCTGCCAGCCCTGTGGCACAATCAGATTGGAAACCTGTGCCTGCAGTGTTCTCCTCCACCTGGCCTTCCATGCTGTTCTCCCACGGGGAGCTAAAGTGACGCTGTGAAATGAGAGATTGTTAAAATACAGCCAGGGTCTCTCTTGAGTGCCTCCACTGTTTGTTGTGTGCCCAGTGGGAGACACTGGCACAATTCAGAACTGTGTACCCTGGCAATGAATACTGGCTTGGAGAGTGTGGGGATGTGGAAACAGGCCACAGCTATGCGTCTTTGCCATGGGGTCTCAGCAAGGGCACAGCCCTCTCCAGGCCTCAGCTTCCCCTCTGTACATGAAGCAGTTGGACTAGATCAGTGGTTTTCACCTGAAGAAATTACAAAATATGTGCCAGTGCCCAGACCTACCTTCTCTTGAGATTCTGATTTTATTGGTCTGGGGCGGGCCTGAGCATCAGAATTTTGTAAAAGTTTCCCAGGAGCCTCTGATGTACGGCAGGGCAGAGATCCTTGGGACGGATGTCTCTTAGAGATCATCTGGTGCAAACCACCTTCCCCCTCTACCCAACCTCTGTCAGAAACAGGCCCAGAGAGGGGAAGAGACTCGCCCAGAGTCACAGAGCAATGTCAGAAACATTGCCACTTGCTGGGGTGGAGGCCAAGCCCCTGTCTGCCCCGCCACCCCCAGGCCTGAGTCCTTGGCACCACACCCCTCTGCACCCACTGCCTTGCTTGTTTCTTCCCCTCCGGTCTCTATGCACACAAAGAAAGAGTTGTGGATCCTATCTGAAATTTTCAGAGAAGATTTTCTCAGTCTGTTTACCGAAAAGTTTCCCCCAGATCCCAGCCATTTTGGGCAGAGCCTGGGAACAAGCAAAGCTGAAAACCTTTGGCCATTTAGCTCTTTCGGTCAGACACTTGCTAGGAATCAGGCAGCATATGTGAGAGAGTTACCCCCCGTCTGTCTGCCCAACCTCTCTCTGGTGGGGGCTGCTGGTCACTGCCTGCCTTTCTCTCTGCAGAATATTCCCATACCAACCCTCAAAGCATACGCAGAAGCCCTGAAAGACAATTCGTATGTGAAGAAGTTCAGCATTGTGGGGACACGGAGCAATGACCCTGTGGCATATGTATGTACCTTTCCGTTCTGCTGCACTGAAGGTGAGGGGCATAGAAACACAAGGGGTTGATGTGTATAGCCTCAGGACTGGCCAGATTCCACTGAATATGGTGTGGTGTAGTGAAAGGCACTGGGCTAGAGCCAGGAGAGGAAATGGACAGAATGGCCATTATCCAGACACCATCTGTACATTATTCTAGTTAATTTCCACGACCACCCCTGATCCCAGAAGTGCAGGTTCCCCTACTTTGCAGATGAAGAACCTGGGGTGCAGGAGGCTCAGGCAACTTGCTTTGTCCAAAGTGGCAGGGCAAGCGAGAGATGGAGAGGAAATTTAAAAGCAAGTCACGTGGACCATAAAGCTGGATCTCTCTCCATTCAGCATGTCACATTTGGAGTAGCAATCAATTCTTTTCTGATTTTTAAAATAAGTAGGACAATTTCCTCCAGTATTTTTGAAATGATAAAAATAGCTCATAATCCCTTATTGCCGCCAGTGGGAAACCTCTGGATAGATGACCGTTGACCTCAGAAGATCGCCAGTGGATCCTGAGCCTGCCCATGGAGACACAGCTGGCCACGCCATATGCCCTGTACACTGCTGTTTCGTGGATCAGAAACCAAACACATCTATGCTGGCACTCAGCTCAGCTCCATGAATATTATAGGACATTGACTCTGTGCCAGGCTGACACCTGATGTCAGCTGGTTCACACCGGCATATCCATTGTCAAATACTGAGATGCTCTGGGCTGGTTAGTGCATAAGCCTACCAGAGCTCTCTAAATGTCCCCCGTGGCCTGTCCCTAGCTCTCCTCCTAACACGCCCCCATTTCTCTTCTCCGATCCAGCAAACACAGAGTTGACACCTGGCATGACAGTGCCTCTAGGACCTGCTCAGCCACCAGGTGTCCACTTGGATCAGCATGGTGCACTTTCCTACTATTTGTTAAATATTTTGATTATCAGCCCCAGGCAGGCCTTCCCTGGGGAGCAAGAGGAATGCTGTGGAGAGAACACAGACTGGGCCCCTCTCTTCGGGAGGGTCCAACCTCCTCCGGGTCACAGAGAGAGCTGATATGCCATCCTAGGGGCACACAGCAGGGGTAGCGAGGGAGAAGTGATGATTTTAAGCAGGAAGACTTCCTGGGTGCTGAGTCTTGTGTAGGGTTTCAGCAAGCGGGAACAGTGGAAAGGGTGGTCCGGGCTCAGATCATCCTTTCAGACAACCAGGGCCCACCGATTGTGCATGTCGGCCTCTTAGATGCTGCTGTCTCCTTTCCTCCATGACACATTGTCTGCTAATTATCTCACTTCCTTCAGAGGCTCTGATTGTCATCTGCACCCCTGGCTGAATTCCTCCCAAAGGTGCTGGGGGCCACCTGAGCTCCTCTCCTCCCATTTGCCTGGTCCCTTGCCCAGTGGGTGGTTTCCCAGGCTTCCTTCTCTGCTCTCTGCTGCTCAGATAAAGAGAATGATGACTCCATGGCATTTCAACGGCAAAATAGAAGAGACAAATGGGGAGTGTTTAGGAAAGTTGGGACTCCACTAGTCACTCAGTGAACAGTGACTGAAAACCTACTGTGTGCTGAGCACTGTGGGCAGCATTTTCAGCCCACCAAGAGTAGATCGTCTAATGGTAGAGACAACACCAGTATAAAAATAATCTAAACAGAGGAAAACAAGTGCCATGAGGGAGGTTCTAGATAAATTCTATGATGTTCAGGAGGACAGGCCACAGCTAGCTGGGGATGTCGGCAAAGGCTCTCGGAGAAAGGGACATTGAGAATGGCCTTAAAGGATGGGGAGGCTTCGGACAAGTGAAGCAGAAAGGAAAGGGCATCCCAGGTGGCAGGGACAAGAGGAACAAAGGCAAAGCGGTGAGAGAGCAGTGGGCATGCTGGAGGAACTGGGAGTAGACTCACCATAAGGGAGCAGCGAGAGTTGAGGCTAAAGAGAAAAGTAGATCTAGGTAATAGAGGCTTTGGATGTAGGCTAAGGAGCAAGGAATTCTCCGGTAGGGGCTTGGGAGCCACGGCAGGTTGGAGGGGAGGAGAGATGCAGTTTTGGTTGGTGAAAGAAGTCGTAGAGATCGTCTTGTCTGGTTCCTGGCTCAAAAAGCATAAATTTGCAAGGGGCTCTTGCTCCCCGCAAGGCTCCATCAATATTTTAGATTCTACCCAAGAGGGGCTCCAGCCTTGCTTAGGGTGACTCATGGGTACCTTCACTTTTCTCCTGTGACTCAAGGCCCTTGCTGAGATGCTCAAGGAGAACAAGGTGCTAAAGACACTGAATGTGGAATCCAACTTCATTTCCGGAGCCGGGATCCTGCGCCTGGTGGAAGCTCTTCCATACAACACTTCTCTAGTGGAACTGAAGATCGATAACCAGGTAAGATGGCCAAGGGTACCTTAATGTCCTTCACTATATGAGGTTCACCATTCTGCACTTTCCTGCATGCTGCTGGACGTAGCAGATGCTGTTGATCATAAAAGCTCCGGAGCCCAGCTTCAGGGGACCTTGCTCACCTTCCTTCTTCATCATTCCTACCAAGTACTTTTCCAGCTTTGGCTTGTGTACCCCTACTCCTTACCCTTCTATTATCCAGTAGAAATGAGCTCCCTACAAGACCTGTTTGTTGGGTTTAATTCTCTTCTGTGCTGCACAGGACACATCTGTTGCACAGATCTTAATAAACCATTGGAGTCTTCTTCACCAGGCTAAATACCCCATTTTCTTCAGTCACCCCCTACTCAATGGGTTTTTGAGTCTCCTTACCATTGAGGTTGTTCTCTGGGCAAATTCTAGTTTGTCTTTATCTTTATGGGGTTATCATTTCTCTATGACTTCTGTGGTGCAGTCATTTATTTCCATGTGTTTAGTGTCTACTATAGGCCAGGCTCTGTGCTATGCTCCTGACACCCATCATCTCTGATCTTCCCGGCCACCCTACAGGATGTGGGTATCATCTCTCTCAGTTTGCAGGCAACTTTCTCAGGGCCACCAAGTTCGTACTTTCAGAGGCAACATTTGAATCCAGGTCACTGTGACTCCAAACCCACCCTCTTTCTGTTACATCACATTGCTTCTAATGTTAAAATGCTTTCTTCATTAGGGAACTTTTTTTTTTTCTGCTGAATTGTCATGTAAAGATGTGCATAGGAAAAACTCTGGGTGGAAATATAACAAAATTGTAAATAGTAGTTATCCTTGAATGAGATTATTTATACCTTTCTCTTTATTGTAAATGATAACAAACATACAGAAAAACACATAGAACTTAAATGCACAGCTTAATCACACCAGGCATGTAACCTCTGGCCAAGAGCTAAAGCATTACAATCCTCCAGAAGACTTTAACAGTCCCCTCCTAGTTACACCCCTTCAGAATTTCACAGTTTACTTCCTACTTTTTATATCTTTGTGTCTTTGCTCTTGCTTTTCTCTCCCACTGGAATGTCCTCCCCTGCTCCTACTCCCTTCTCTGCCTGGAGAAATCTTCCTTTTCCTTCTGGATGCAGCCGAAGCCTCTTATTCTCCTAGTGGTGTTCTAGAGCCAGCTTGAACCAAGAGTTAATTGTGTGCATCTCTTCTGAATGCCCCTTCAGTGATGGCCCAGCAGCACCTTGAAATTGCCCCTAATGGATGTATCTATACTACAGAAATTGCAAATACTACAGATCCAACCTGTTTTGTTTTGTTTTTTTTTTTTTGAGAGCCACCATGCCACTGTCTTCTCCCATCCCCTAAAGAGAGTTAGGTGCTGTGTCTGAGTCATCTCCATATCTCAGTGCCCAGCTCAGAACTTGGCGCCAGAGTGGTGCTTGGTAAGCAGGGCTTCCCTGGATGGTTGTGCATGTTGTTCACTGCACAATGATGTGGCAGGGGATGAAATCCAGCCCGCGTTTTGCTCTCCCAGCCTTGGTGCGGGGCTTTGTTTACACAGAGAAGGTCCTTTTTTTTCTAATTCACATAAAGAGACCACATGAGCCTGCAGCAGCCCTATCATGTGAATTTGCTGCATTGGACCCCTTGCATGTGTCACATGCCAGTGGCCTTGCTGCTGCGTCGCCCATTCCTGGTTCCTCCCCACCCCCACCTTTTATGCCCCTCCCTCGGCCATTGCTGACCCTGCTTTACTGAAGTCAGGAGGAGCACAGCAGATGGAACAATGGCATGCGGCAGGCTCGGCAGCAACCCTGCGTCAGACCCTGGGATTGGCTAGTCACATGACTCAGCCTGGCAGGGCAGGGAGTTGTGGTCCACCCAGAGACAGCTGAAACCCAGCTCCTGGGGGCAGAATGTTGGCTAAAGATGGTCCACAGCACTGGCCTCAGGTCACTGTGGTGGCAGGTGGCAGGGAACAAGCTGCTCACCTTTCTTCCCACTACTGTCCCCTTAGAACTCAGAGACTGAGCCAGTGCTGACCATCACTTTCACTCTGGCTGAACACCCTGGTGTCAGAGGGATCACTTCCCTGAGCCTCAGCCCCACATTTGTAAATGGGGCTAATCATCTCTACTTCTTGAGAGATGACAGATGTAAAGTATGCAGTCGTTAACTTTTTAATTACTCCAAAGGCGATCTAGGGCGTTCACATGTTATTGTAGGAGTCAATTAATTGAGCTGATACCATGAATCCATTACATCATTTAATGCTCACACAGACTGTGAGTATCACAACCCGTATTGTAGATGAGGAAACTGAGGCCCAGGCAGGATACGTAACTTGCCCAAGGTCACACAGTAAGTAAATGGCAGGAGCAAGATTCGAACCCAGGTCTGTGTAACTCCAAAGTCCATGAGCTGTGCCTGTCTGGGCTCCTGAAACCTATTGTAGTTTCATGTAGACTTTTCTCAGCTGTCCCTTTCCCTTTGTACAAGACCAAAGCACTCTCACCACCTGCCTCCCATGATCCTGGGAGCCTCCGCTTTGGTCCATTGTCAGAGTTCAGTGAATGCCGGTTACACCTCAGGGTTGAGCTGGGTTCCATGTGTGAATGAGGCTCCAGCTCTGCCCTCCAGGGAATCTATGCCGCATGAGAAGACACGCAAGAGCAGAAATGACCATCAAATGATATGCTCCAGCAAGGCACAGACAGTGTGCCTGCAAGTCCACTGGAGGGAGCAGTCTCAGGCAGGAGCGGGCATCAGGGAGGACTTCTTGAAGGAGGTGGAGTTTGAGATAAACCTGTAGACAGTATCTCAGAGGATGAAGCAGAGGTCATGTGCAAGGAACCATGTGAACAAAGAGGAGAGAGGAAAGCCATGGAGCCCATTCAAACATGACTAATAGTACCCCCAGAGGAAGGCCAGAATGAGATTTGGGAGTCCAAGGGGCTCCGAATGGGTAGGTTGAGGGAAGGTGGACCGTGGCCTGTTCTGTGCACCAGTCAGAGTTGTGTTCTGGGAACATGGTTCCCAACTGGTTGGGAGAGGATTGGGAGCAGGGAGAGGCTATCAGGGCGGGGGAGACCGGCGAAGGTATCATGACCTCCCAGAGGAGGCTACCTGTGGGGAAGTGCTCCCGTATGCCTGGAGACTGGATGGGACCTGGCTGGGGAGGAGGAGGGCAGGGCTGAGGCTGGTCTTGGGGAGGGGGCTCTACCACCCAGGCTCAGGGGAAGGCCACCCCCACCTCTCACAGTGCATCCCAGGAGGCCTGAGCATGGCCACTGCCTCTCCTCGGGTGTCCCAGCCCCTAGGCTTTTGCAGAGTGTGACAAAAAGGTGATGAGTGACATTTGATTTATTCTTCATTCTTGGTTAGTTGCCAAGGTCTTCAGAGACTGCAGCTTTCTCCTCAGCCCTTGTGCCTGTAACCTGTGTCAGTGAATCTCTGTTCTCCTTTTTCCTTATACGGCCAAAGAAAGGGTGACACGGAGCCTCCCAGGCTGGCTCAGGACACAAATTTAGGAACCAGAGTCTGAGGCTGTTTGTTTACTTAGCCAGTCTATTTATCTCAGCACTGTTCTATTGCCGCCTGAAGTCGCCCTGAGCTGGCAGTGTGGGTGCGGGTTGGGGTGGGGGACAGAGGAGCCAGACCTGGAGCTGAGGGCACTGAGAAAATGGCTACTCTAGCCCTCCTTTCACAGGTGGGGAAACTGAGGGTCAGAAAGGGGATGGGATGTACCAGAGGTCATAGATCAAATGTCAGAGCCAGGTTGGAGCTGAGACGTCCTGCCTTTCAGACAGGCTGCATTTATGGTTGGACAAAGGAGACCCCCTCAGCCCCCAGGGAGCAGGCTTTACAGATGGGGTGCCTGTAGGCCCCGTGGATCCTGCGGTCACATCCAAATGGTGGTTCTTTGCCCCTCTTGATTCACCCTTCCCACTCCCAACAGAGCTCCCTTCAGCAGGCCCTTCCCAGGATGCTCATGGCACAGGGCACACTCCCTGTCCCTCGAAACAGACCAAGCCTGAAAACATGAGCTCCCCCTCCCCAAATAAAGAAACGTGCAATGTCTGGTGCTATTGGCTGATTCCAAACGTTTCGTTCCAATGTTTGACCGTGAGGATGTGCTTAATATGTTAAAAAAGAAGCTAAAGGAAGTGGATTGTGTTCTCTTGTTTTTCCAGATTGGATTATTTTCCTAGTGGAATTAAGTTTAGAAAGAAAACAAAAATTGCACTGGAATAGGATCCTGAAGGTTTTCACACATGGCGACAATCCCCTTAATTTTAGATTATGCACTTATGGCAGCCAGCTAATGCTATTTTAAATGAGGCCGAATATACTTTTGGTTTTGTAAAAGGAAAGGAAAACACGCTTGCAAACCAAGACAGCAGTACTTTTGACCAGTCGTGTTCACTGTTTTATTCCTTATACATCTACATCCTAAGCAGCAGCTCGGTCTGCGCATCATTTTTGCATCTGTAGTCTCATTGCGTATTGAAGTAATTCAGATTGGAATTATTCAGCCTCCATGCGAGGATAGATATGTGTCACTCACTGTCCTTTCCTCTAAATGCTAATTATGTTCTTTTACTGATTTTACTTCTCAGGGAAAAATAACGTAAAGTCAGTAGAAATGAGAGAAAAAAATAAGATGTAGAGCAGGGTTCCTCAAGCCCTGGGCCACAGACTGGTACCGGTCCATGGCCTGTTAGGAACTGAGCCGCACAGCAGATGAGCGGCAGAAGCTCGAGCGAAGTTTCATCTGTATTCGTAGCCATTCCCCAGTGTTAGCATCACCGCTTCAGCTCCACCTCAGATCATCAGGCATTAGATTCTCATAGGCCAAAAAGGTTAGGGACTGCTGATGTAGAGAAAACCCTCTTCCTACACAGATCATGACAACAACTATCCATGACCACAACTATCTCACACCATGTCAAGTTTCCATTGGAGGCTGCACTCTGTTCTAAAAAACCAGGAGCTTTCCAGACAGG